TAATATACTTATGAAACTTATGTTTTTCATTTCACTTTGACTTGTGTTTCTATTTTTCCACACATTATACCATAACATACACTCCTCAACCAAATTATCAATTGCATACAAATTATTTATTTCTATTATCATGTTTTTAAATTCGCTGAGTGACACAGTAATTATGATGGGTACCTATATCGTATATTATGGTATGTAGTAAGTTTCCACACTAAAAATGAGCAGTGACGCCGGCGGTCAACTCCATTTGTCGAAATAATATTATTATTATTAATTTATCATTATTATTTATTAATTTATTATTATCAGAAATAGCACCTCTGCGTTGTTCAACATCGCCGTCGCCGTCACCGTCGTCATTTGAGAAAAAATAATTAATAGGTACAAACAAAAAATAGCTACGCAAAATCCAAATATACCAACATTGATTAATGGTTATAAATAGTATTTAATACTACAGGGTGGGGCGTGGTTACTTCCTTATCTTATAAAATCATAACACAAAAAAATATTGGCAATATTGATTTAATTATTTTTTCTGTGTATAGGGATACATTTAAAGTTTTATTTTATTTGGTTTTAAAAACGACATCTCGAAGGTGGCCACCGTTCTCTTCAATGCACTGAGATAGTCGGAATTTGAAATTGTTTTCTACTTTTTCCAGCATATCTGTGCTTATGTCGGCAATAGCTGCACGAATATTGTTTTTGAGATGACAAAGGGTCTTTGGACGATCCGTATATACTAACGATTTAAGGTAGCCCCACAGGAAAAAAATCACATGTGGCTAAATCCGGCAATCGTGCTGGCCACTGAAGATCGCCTCTAACTGTTACATTTGTACCCCTTCAATGTCTTCGCTGAAGTTGTCTCTAATCCTTTTCCAGGCATCACTGATAAGATTTCTATTTTTATGCATTGGGTCCTTTGGATTCCAAATTAATGACTCCTTTTCAAATAATGACAAAAATTCCAATGTCTTTTCATTAGACCACTCCATTTCGATGAAATTTTAGTAAATACAATACACAAAAAGGTTTTTAAATTTAAATAGTTAAAAAAAATTTAACTTAATTTAATTAAAGATTAATTAAATATTTAAATATTGACGCCGATTGCCAAGTGCACGGTTCGTGTGGAATGACGTACCTCGTGCGATTACTACTGTAGTGATATTATTATTATATACCTAATGATGTTAACAATAAATAATAGTCTATTTTTGGGGGAAATCTAAGATTAAATTTTTTATATCAGCACGAGTCACTCGTGTTGTATCCGACACTGACGGGAAACCGCGAGTGACTCGGCGAGTAAAAATAATCGGCGTGCTTTACGGTTAAATACCTCACACACGACTCGTAAAGTAGTACGATTGACGAATATTCGCCGATTACACGAGTCGTGTGGGACCGGCTTAAGAGAGATGAGCCGTCCAGGAGAGTGTTCACGCGAGGTATTCATTGACCTTCTTGCCATGTGAGCCGTGGGGCCATCCTATTGAAACCACACTTCCCCTACATTCATTTCTTCAAGTTTGGGCAGAAAAATATCCACAACTATGCCGACATAAGCACAGGCATAAGTAATCCGACATAAGTAGTATTTTAGTATTTATAATCAATGGACAATGATAACAATGAAATCACGAGATCCTACTAAATAGTAAATATTCACATATAAAAGTCGAAACAGTGCATCGAAAACGGATGACTTAATAGTTAATACACCCATAAAAATCCACATAACATTTGTCGACTATGTGTTGACTATGGCACTCAACGTTTCAAAAAATAATTTTAATTTAAAAAATATTGATTTTATGATATTTCATGCTACATAATAGTTATGATAAATTGACCCATAAAAAATCCAAGGGAGGCAGATTCCCCTACTTGCCCCTCCCCCTGCGGACGCCCTTGATGTCAGGTGTGATGTTTGAAACTGAAATAAGCAAGTTAGCTTCTAAAGACTGTCGTGAAATGCATCATCATTTTCGATAGTTTAATAGATTATTATTATTGTTATTATACTTTAATCAGTAAACTAATAACTCTAATGTAAGATAAAATTTCCCAATGTAATAGATAATAATTAATCATATGGTCGGTTATAATGTTATATTTAAATAATAACTAAATAATCAAAAATATTTTAAATTAAATAAATATTTCAAGGCCCCCCAGGCCCCAGTCATATAGCCACGGCCCCCTAGGGGATCGTGGCCCCCAGGTTGAAAAGCACTGCCCTAAACCACATCCTGTTATATTATGTAGTGAACATTTTGTTGGTAATCAATGCTCAAATGACTCGAAATAGGTACTCCAATATTCCTTCATAAGTCCATAACCATCATTGTTTCCTGAAGTGTACAAAAAGAAACAAGTTAATATTAAACAGTTGAGTTATAATTTTATTACAAACAAAAAACAAACCATCGAGGTAAAAAGTTAAAAATGGTGACAAAGTCACCAAGTGGAAATCATAGTATCACTCCAGTGTGGAAACTTGTAACTGGTACCCCCGTATGTGCGCCAATGATCATATTCAGATATTGGTATGCTATTTAATTTTACAGCTGTATTAAGAATACTTTATTGTTTTCTAAATTTTTTAGTTAGTATAACAAAACATTTTTTCTTTTGGCCCAACAAAAAACAATGTTAGATACTTTACCAAGAGAATTTACACAAAATTATCCTAACTTCTGATGTATTATTGATTGTAAAGAAATAAAAACTGTGCAACCAAGTACAGTTGAGCAAAGAGTATTCTAGATATAAAAAATTTTTAAACAGTAAAAACTAGTACAATTGTAGCAATTACTAATAGTGGTTTAATTTAATTTTTATCAAAATGTTAGGGGGGTTGTACAAGTGACACATTTATTACCTACAAATGATGTAGTTATTTATCAAAACTTGAAAATGGAGAGAAATGTTTTCCTGGTATTAAAGTCTGGCGTGAAAATAAAAATAGTATTTTATAAATCTTTAGTATGGGATATTTAGCGAGAGTGAAGTAATTGAAACATACATATTGCTAGTGTGAAAATTCATATAAAGAAAGTTTTTGCCAAATTAAAAACTTGGGGAATTTAAAATAACCATAAATTTGTTACCTCGTGTCAATGAAATTATATATTTATGTTATATGTTAATTAGTTGAAAAACTCATTTTATGGCGTATAGAAAATACTAACACGGACATTTAGTGAAAATTTAATGTATGTACTGAAATTTTTTTAGGGTTACACAAAAAACCAAACCGGTTTTTGGAAAACTGGTTTTGCGTAAAAATTCCTGTTTTTTCTTAATTTTTTGTTTGTTCTCCCTGTCACTTTTGAAAACTATTGGAAATTTTTTTTGATAAAGGTAGGCAAACTTGTAAGGAATCTTGTATTACATTTTTAAATCTTAGATATAAATAGAAAAATTGTTACGAATTTCTAACTAAGTATAAATTGCTAATTTTCATGATTTTTACGAATTTTGTTAAAATTCTAATTTTAAACGCTCGTAAAAAAATACTATGGATTTACGCTCATTTTTTTTTTTTTAATATCAATTAACAACAACTTACAAGGAACCTTGTAATACATTTTCAAATTTTTTGACCGAGCGAACATTTTTTATCAACTTAAGTTTAAACGAAATAAATAATAATAGAACATGTAATATGCCTATAAATAGTTCAACACAAATCAAAATATTTTGAAAATTTTATGGCGTACAGAAAATGCTTATACAAATATTTAGTTAAAATATCAGGTATCTACGGTCATTTTTGTTAGAATAACACTAAAAACCATAATCGATTTTTTCGAAAAATCGTTTTGCGTAAAAATTCCTGTTTTTCCTTAATTTTTTGTTTATTTTTCCTGTCGCTTTTGATAACTATTGGAAATTTTTAGTTTTGATCTCCCAAATACCAACAACTAGGTTCACTCTCCTACCAGAAAAGCTGCTGTTGAAGAAAATCGATACACATGTACTGCCCCAAACCGTGATGACAGATACAAAAATAAAAATAATATATAAATACAAAAACATACATCATTGTAAAATCAATACATTCGTCGCTCAGCGCAGAATCTAATAGACTATATAATATAAGTATAATGGATTTATTATAAAAGTTGCAGGCTCTTATTTTTTCAGCCAAAAACAACAGTACTTATATAATATGATGTATATAGTATAATTTTGTTGTTTTATAGTAACATTCTAATGAAATGGTCTAAAGATCTATTTTGATAGTGACAGATAGTATAAAAGATGCTATTTAATTATTTAGCATGGCAGCTTTAAGCGATGGAGATCCATTACCACTTACCAGCAACAAAATTATGGCTTAGTTAAAAAAATTGACGTAATAAAATATAGCCAAATACCAATGAATAAAAATGTTTTTCAGGTGGTTTTCCTGATGCCGAGAAATTTAAAGACCAAGATAATCAACTAAAAATTCAATTGAAAATAGGCTTTTAATTTTCCATTTTTTTTCAATTATTTAGTCTATAAGACTATAACCAAGATTTGTTGGTATTTTCCTACGGTGTTGACTGCTGAGACGTTTTGAGGCTGGGTACCTTTGTAATATGAGTATTAAAAAGGACAATTTTAAGACGTTTTACATTTAAACACGTAATGAACATATTGCATAATGTAACTTGTAAGAATATATGGGACATTATAGACTATAGTATAATAAAATAAATAGCCTGTTAAATAGCCGGTTTCAATTTTCAATTTTATATATTAAGATTTTTAAACAAAATAAGGAAGTATAATTAATAAAAGTATAGAATTATTGAAGGTTCCATACAATGTATCTGGTTAGTATACTTTTCAATGTTTACTTTTAACATATATATATAATATATATATATTTATATTGTTGCATGCATTGAAACAAATATTTTTTGTTGTAAACATTCAACTTATATTCATTCTAACTATTCAAAATTATTAAAACCCATTCTACCTACTTTATCGTCATGATCAGTTTCGACAAGTCATCTTCAGTTGAAAGGTAAAGATACTAAGCTGAACTACGGTTTACTAAAACCTCTATTTACTGAAATTTTTTAATTCCTCTATAATGTCCACTGTCCAGTATAGATAGGTTTTAGAAACTTAATGATTATTGATCAGATTATACCATTCTTACTATCTTAGAGGACATTCGTAAATCGTAATAGTATTTTAGAAAAATCGACGAAGTCGCTTTGCTATATTTTAGCATACTGAGTATGTAGGTACTTTGTCATTGAATAGGTAGGTCACTCAGTGGCGGCGCCAGGGGAGGCCTGGGCAGGCCACGGCCCTCCCTAAATTTGTCTTGGCCACCCCTTGGCCCCCCTTGGCCGCCTAACCACAAGAGAAAAAATTTCTTTAAATTTATAATAAAATACACATTTTTAATGTAAGTTGATATGATGTTGTAATGATATCTAATGTTTAAGTGTGTAAATATTAAATAATAAACCTATACCTATACATACATGATATTTATTATCAATTAAAATGAAAACCAATAATTATGCAAAAACTTAGTATATGCAACACACTCTTTACAATAGTGTGTAAGCTCCCTTATAATATTATATTTATTTTGTACAGTAGCGATTTACATCATTGCACAAAATTAATCAATGTACTATTTACATTTTACACTGTAATACATCATTTAGTTTAACGAGCAAATTGGTGATTTCTGACGAACTATCGTTGCTTATTGAAAGCAATACGAACGTGAAAGATCTAAATACGAAGCAAATTGATCAGTTATTAAGTTTAACGAATTCATGGATGGAATCATTACAGAAAGAAATTAATTTTATCGAAGACATAATGGTAGGAAACCCAACAATGTTTTGCTTTTATTTTTTTAAATTAAGTTCAATCAAAATATCCGTGATACGTTTATTAAATTCACAAAGCCTGAAACGTAACTAACTTTGTTTATTTGAAAAATAATTTTGAATTCGATTATTGAATATACGTTTATTACAGAGCGGAAAAATTCAATACGCGTCCGCCATCAAAGAATACGATTTTTGGGAAAAACGTTATAATAATTTCAAAGTGATATTGGAACAATTGTTGACCGACAAAATAGTACTTAAATGCATAAATATTTTGGAACAAATTATCAACAGCCAAATTGTTTCATATACATTGTGGAGATTTAATGAATTAAAAAACGACTTTCAAATAATGTATGATACAACTGTTAGAAACACCATGTATTTCATGAAATTAATTTACGATGGAATTGATGTACTTACACATATATATACGTTAAACATTTTCATTTTAAATACTGTCGCAGGTAGCTACTATGTACACACCATAATATGAGTTTTTTTATGATTTTCAGTCAATTATTAACGCACCATTTACAAATATCGTAGAAAACTTCATACCACTATACAACAATTTAAATCTAATGTGGTTGACATCAAATTTGTTTAGCCGGAAAAGACACATGGAACGTCTACTCGAGTCAATTTCCAATTCGATTGCTGATAGAGTTTCTATAACTTTGAGTATACCCGAGATATTCCGGTAATTATATTTGATATAATTTGGGCAAAGCATTTTAAGTACGGATACACTCCACAGCCGCAATGGCTGCAATATCTATGTGTTAACTGTTCTAAAAGAGGTCAACAAAATACATTTAAATAGAATACAAATAATTTAGAAATATCTATGGAACTTTAAAGTTATTAAGGCACTAAATGTCCACATTAATTGAGAAGTAAAAATCGATTTAATTATTTCATTTCGCATTGTGTGGCATAGATTTTTATTTTTCCACCATTTTATGTAAGTACATAAACACACCGACTACATTTTATTTTATTTGTTACTTTACACATTGATAAATGACCTTTTTTGGAATTAAGTATTCTCAGTGATACACAATGTTTGTATTTTATCTTATACCAAGTGGCTTAAGCAAACCTTCACCCCTCAGTGATGCAGAGGAATATCGATATTTCAATTTGATATTGACATCGAACATATTTTTATTAATTTCCTATATCAATTTATCCATATTAGAAAGTTCCTACATGGCTATATCAATATTCTAATTTATATTTTATATTTAGTTATATTTAGACAGCAAACAAATTTAATCCGGCATCGTCATTAGTAACATACTGGTATTTACGAGTATAATTAGCCAAATATTTGTTTTGTTATTTGATTTCCATGTATTAAGTACATATTTTTTATTTATTATGTTTTATTTTTATAATGAAGGACTAAATGTATAATATGAATAATCCTTTTAAGAACAAGCCTTTTTTATGTACCAATTTTGTGACGACACTATTTAACATTTTTCCAATTTTTTCTCACTGAATTGTTCCAAATACCTACCTTCCTAAATGTCACCACTTCGCCCGATTTTCAAAATTTCGACTTTAAAGGATTGAAATCGGTAAAAATCAATTGTATACGTACATATATATATATTACAGCACGGCGACCTGTGGGTTTCCATAACGACATGCAACCATAACTTTTTGTCCATCCAATGTTTGATCGGCGTGTAAATATGAATTGTTTCGAGAAGTAAAATTCTACAATTTACCTATATATATCTAGGTATAGAAAAATAAATCTCTATTTCCCATAGTCGAGGCATCACGGTTATCGCATATCATTTAAAACAGATCCATCTCTCTCTATCTTCTATCTATGATATAAAACAGTTAATACATAATTTCTTAGTGCTCATTTCACAGTGGAATCAATCGGAAGAAAAATTGTATAGTGATTTTTTTGATAAGTGTTTGTTAATCAGGTTAGTTTAAGCAATCACGCTTAAAATTTTAAACAAACTTAAGTCACCCGCGAGCCACCGTGCCATACAATATGTATATAGGTATACAATTTGCATGTTTATTTTATAATTAATAACTAAATTTCCGATCAACTTTCTTAATTTTTTAGTAGAACTTGGTACTTTTTTTAATTTTATGTTTGCCATTGGTTAATCAGGCAGATCAGCATCAGGTTTAAGAATGCATCAAATTGAATTTTAGTACATTGCCTAACAATGTGGCTGTCGGCTGAGGTACACTTATAGCCGCTCATCGGCGTGTACACAGTCAAAATAATTAACTATACAAATTATAATTATAAATGTAGAATCATTTTTTAATAACAATATGTGTATAGAATCATTAGAACCATTTGTAAATATTATTACTAGTACTTTTTTTTTTGAAAGGATTTTTCAAAATTAGACCTCTCGGGGGATAAAGGGGGTTTTTTATATACCTAGCTATACACGGACAACGCTGCGCCGTTACGGGACAGCTAGAACATTTATAAAAAACTTTTTATTATGAGTGTAACAAAAATTTCCAAAAATATATTTTTAATTTATTGATATAACTTAATAAATACATCATCATTATCCTATTTGACTAAACCGGCAGCATTTTCTAGTTCACATTTTATAAAAATATTAAAATCATATTAATTATTGCCATTAAATAAAAAGTGAAGTCATAGTACTATGCATAGATTAATAGTGTTTGCTGCAGTCATATTATGTATGTCATGTACCTATATATCATATCGTATATCTCACATTCACACACCGTCAATTGACACTAGTATTATCAAATATACTATATACTAATATGTAGTTATGTAGGTAATTGCAATGCTGGACATTAACGAGTTAAAAAGTTAAGTTACTTTTTCATAAGTAACTTTTATCTTAACGAGTTTATTTTTTTTTTTAAGTAATTTCTGACTAAATTCCATAAACTTAAAATTATATTTTGATTTACATGTAAATAACAAAAAATAAAAATGCCTGAAAATCAAATACTATGCATATTATTACTTATTTTTATTCTGTATTCTAAATAAGTTCTAAATTGTAAACTGTCACAAGTATTTTGCATTACTTTTGTATTTGAGATTTAAATGGGTATTAAAATAACGTAATTACTAATATTATAAGTACAACTACCTACCTATACAATTTATGAAACGATTTATGATCAAATAACTTGTAAGTAACAACAATTCAGTAAAATAATTTATTTGTTTCGTTGAATTTTTTAATTGATTGAAGTATGTAAGTACCTACTGTAATTAATACAATTACATACATTTTTTAAAATAGTTAGGCCTCTATATTATGTTATTTGTTAAGCTTTAATGAAAAGGTATGATAGTTCATTTTACATGAAAGAAAAGTAACATATTTTTAACGAAGTAAAGTTACTTTTTTTCCAAATTGACCTTAACTTTTAACGAGGTACATAAAAATGAAATTTTAACTTTAAACATAACTTAACGAGTTAAAAAAATTAGTTAGATTACCCAGCCTTGGATAGTTCAATAGTTGTGTAATTATTTTATATAATTCTCAAAAACATGTCAAAATTATTCTTGGTATACAGATACAAAACATCTAAAGCTATAGACTTGGTCAAAGGTGGCTTGTACATTTTGGACCAATGGGAAGCGACATATATAAAATGCAAAAAGGATATTGAAGCCATATCCACCATTTATTTTAGGCGATGGGCTTGGGAGTTTGACGAGGAAATACTATTCCATCGATTACATTTTGTTCGTTTAATTGTACGTGATCTAGACAAAATATTGAAGGTAAATTAAATACCAAAATGCATTAATATTTTTGATAAAAATGTTTTAACTACCTGATTAATATTAATTAAAATGTAAATAGATTATAGAACTGATATTGATGAGCCCTGAAGTTAGTCATATTTTTAAAAATAACTCGGAAGGTCAAATATTTATTAAAAATTACATTACTCGTATTTTTTTTGATTTGGAAATCAATGTCTACGATAGTAATAGAGAAGAAATTTGGATTAAAAAAATGGACCAATTTCATTATCATTTTGAAAATAATGTCTATGATAAAATCAGTCAATCGATGGAGGTTTCAAACAGTGCAATTAACGATGTTAAAGTGCTACAATTTTTCGAGAACATGATGATTCGGCACACACTTATAAAGAAACTTCGTCCAAAGTATGTGATTATTTTAGAGAAGTTCGTGGCAGAAATTAACAATTATAATACACAATTTATCGTGAGTTAATTAATATTAATTGTTAATCATTAACATGTGTTAATGTGTTAATCATAAACATTGTTTGAATCTACTACAGTCATTAAAGGAATCCTCCCAATTAGTTTTTGGCGTGCCACCGGTGGCAGGTAAAATCATTTTAGTGCAAGACCTATTTTTAAGAGCTAAAAAAACCGCTCGAGTCGTGGAATCGACGCCAAAATTTCCCCACATTCAGAAAACCAAAGTACGTCTTTTTTTTAAAAGTAAAAATCATTTATCTTGTCATTATTATTGTTAGACATTATTAGTATACGGAAAGTTTTGCAATAACGTCTTAAAATATGAAAGTAACTTAGTTAACAAATGGTTGAGCGATGCCCTTAAAATTGAAGGCAGTTTAGTGGAAGGCGCTTTGTGGACCTTTCACGGAAATAAACTTGTGTCTACGTTCAACGTATGCAAATAAAAATCACAACTTATCTAAGCCAAACTCGTACTAAACAATTTGAATGTTTTTCAGAAAGAATTATTTTTTGTCATTGACACAGCACTACACCTGCATCTCTTAGGTCATGATTTGCCAATTATTATAATGAACTTAATAGAAAAACAACAACGGATAATACTGAATATAAAGATTCTTAACTCATTATTAGAAGTATACAATGAAATAGTGGACAGAATGGATGCTCCAATTGTTAGTATTATATGGTTTTTTTTTTGCAAACTAATGGAACTATTTAAGTGTACAGACTACAGAATGTTGCTTTTTTTTTAAAAAATGTGTTTTTAATTATTATTCATTTAAGCTTCTTACTGTTTATTAATATCAGCAGTTAAAACACATTGTATGTGTATATTTATTTGTCTACAATAAATTTAGGCTTTGGCAATGGAGCGTCACTTCTCAAAAGTAAAACTGGTAATGCGTCCCGGCTTTGAAAAGAGATATACTTATTTATCATTTCAGCTACCAAAATTCATGAAACATTGTTTGAGGTCTCTAAATATATTCAACACAATTTACAACGAAATTGAATTAGTAAACATGGCTTTGAAAAATATAAAATGTAATATCTAATAATCTCGTAGGTATTGTGTTATTTAGTTTCAAACAATCATATCTGAAAAACTCGAGTTAATTGAAAATCTGAAGTTTTTTAATATGGATGCAAATGATGATATTGAAAATATTTTTGTTAGTATTTACATACCTCTTAGATTTTATAAATGTACTATATGAACAACTGTCACAACAATTTCTTATGATCACAGGCGTTGTTCGATAGGTTCATAACACGAGGAGATGAAAACATGTCGGTTATAACATGTTCGATGAACTACATAGCTATGGCATTAAATTTGATCGAAAAAACTTGTTTTGATTTAGAAATTGGTGGCCACAAGCGCATGCGTTTGTTGTACGAAAAATACGAAAACGCATTACACGAAGCTTTTATTGCGTGAGTTTAGGGAAATAGACACGCTTTTTAAGTGTGCTAGTTACTTGCCTTATGCCCATGTTGTAACTTGTAACTCCATCTAACTAATTTCAGAATGGTCTGGAACAATTGCAATGAGTACAAAAATATATTGAACGGCGATCGGGTGGCCTTGGTAGTTAAGGGACAACTGGTCGATGATAAATTTACTCTTGTGCCTAATATCAACATCATATACACCACGCTCATCAAGGCCATGGATGATACTCTGAATCGATTAAAATCTGTGCCCAGATGGCTGAGAACCACCAATGTTTTGTGCCCATTCGTCAATATCATGGGGACTGACGAATCGCATTTGCCCTATACATATTACACTCACGTAGCGAAATGCAAGGATTTGTACAACATAAAAAAAGAATGTTTCAGTTCCATCGGAGAACTTGTCAACCGGTTGCAAATGGCAGTACAGAAGTATTGTTTCATATAATATTGTAATGACGGGTGTGTGTAGATGTGTAGTGGACAGTGGTTAATGCCTAAAATTGGCCGAGCGCACACAATTCGGTTAATGTGGGCCGAGCGGGCATTAATCAATTAAAACTTGATCCTTGAAGTAAAAATGAGATGGCTAATTAAGTAATTCACATGTAGGTACATTATCCGATTAAAGTAGCTTTAGCAAAATAAATTATGCTTAAAGCTAATGAAACATTGTTTTAAATCCGAGCCAAACACATTCAATGTTTTTACCCAGTACTCGACTATCGAAATAGAAAAAAGTAGAGGTACTGATTACATTATATTTTGCGTCCCTACAGCTAATTCATATACGTAGGTAATATGATATAGGTCCCTTAATAACGATTTCTAACATATGATCAAAAATCAACAAACATTTCATAATTTATTATGTTCACTTTGAAATTTTTAACCATAAGTGTCTTATCGTTAGTGATAGACGTTTGAAGGTTATTGAGGTAATACTAGTATCTTTTTTTAATGAATCAATAATAACATTAAGTTTTAAATATTTTAATTAAGATAATTATTTTTAATATATTCTATGATATGATTAATAATCATTGATTATATGTATATTATTATATTTTTGTCTTCTTAAATTTCTGAAACCAGTCCCAAATTCTAAATAAAATAAGAAACATGAACCTGAACATGAAGTGAGCTGATAACACAGGAGATACTTAACCTTTCAACATGATTAACAATATATATTTAACATTGTAAACAAATATTTTTTATTTATTTAGTTAATTAACTAAATAAATGAGAAATATTTTGTTTATCACATTGTGTTCCCATCTTTCATTGTTCATGGTTTGGTTAGTACTTACAACTATAGTTACTTATTACCTTATACAAACAAATCACTATCCACCTATTGAGGCTATTGAAACGAACCATTTTTAAGGGGTTTTATCTATAGACAATATTCTATAACCATGGTAAGTGATGTGTGACTGTGTGTGTTGAGACTGATCATAAGCGTGCGTGAGTTTTTATGTAATTAAAGATAAACTACTTACGGCCAAGATTCTTGGAAATCCATAAATTGCATGCGTACAGTCACTATATTTTGAGATAAAGAAAGTTTCAACAATAAAGTCCCAAAAAGCGAAAAAAAAATCACTCAGTACCAAAATCCTGATTTTAATTTTGAAAACATAGTTGAACTCCTTATTCTTTTTTAAGTTATGTGGTAAATGGATTTTTGATTCGTTTATTGCTTGATTAGTATAGTGCCAAATTAACTTTCTATTTTTTATTCACTCTTACTTTCCTACTGAAAAAAAATCCATTTCCCATAAGCACAGACAATAAGCGAACAAATTCAAATATTTTTTTCAAAATTAAAATTGGACGTCTAGAAGTATATTTATAATTCTTAAACTCATTGGTCAAAATGCACAAAAAAAAATGACCCGCTTTTAATAGCTTCAAGTAATTATCATGTGTCACTGTACCGTATATCGACACGTTTTATAAACATTTTTTTTTATTTATAAATAAAAAACAAATATTAACTTTGTAATTTGTAAAAAATCCTAAGTGAAGTAGTCACTAAATATCTATAATCTATATATATGTACAATACTATATTGAATGGGACATCTATCTGTCATTTGTATTAACCTGTATGCTGTGTGCCTAGGTTTGCAGGATTTGGTTTCATGTTCGAAAAACGAAACAAATTAATTATCGATCAGTTTTCCGAGACAAATCCTACATTGGCTGATTACGGTGAGAAGTTGAAATATTTCCTCACGCTATCCACCCGTGTTGAATGCGAGTTGCACATTGACTATGGCTGTATACGAATCGACGTTTCCGAATATATCGTCGTCCTACGGGAACGGTGTGATTTTTGGCATTCAGTTTATGGAAGTCAATTGATACTCGAATGTGATGATATTATGGCAAAGTTTTCTCAAAGGATCACGGTAACTACCATTGATCAAAGACGGTATCGCTAATTGTTTAATTGATAGGTACGCACAAAACTTTGCTAAGGAGGCATGGGTAAAGGGGGCAAGTGCCCAGCTCATATGAGTGGTGCCAAACTAAATAATAGATTTTAGATTTTGAGCTGAGGGATGAATTTAATGATTTTACAATGATGTATGTTTTTTTTGTGTCTATCATCACCTTTTGGGAAAGTTATAAAATAAATAAAAATGCTTCGATTTTCTTGAACAGCATCTTTTCTGGTAGGAAAATGAATCTAGTGAGTACATTCCGGAATCAAAAGTAAAAATAATTAATAGTTTTTAAAAGCGGAAGGAAAAACAAACAAAAAATTAAGGAAAACCTCATATTGTTATGCAAAACCAGTTTTTGTTTTTTTTTGTATAATTCTGAAAAAAATGACTGTATATAGATGTAATATTCACTGAATGTTTGTATTAGCAATTTCTAAGCACCAATAAGCCATAACCTTTTTTCGAAATATTGCGACTCTTTTTATAATATTTAAATTTTATTGAGCCAAAAAGCTTGTACATTTAATACAAAGCTAATAATATATTGTTCTAATAGCAGTTGAAAAATATTGAAAATAGTCTGTCACAATTTTTTTTATAACCATTTAAGTTTAAATTCCGATAAAATACATAATAATCACGAAAATTAGCAAATTATTTTGAGTTAGAAATTCATACAAATGTTTCTTTTTATATCTAAGATTTAAAAATGTGATAAATGATTTTAAACATTTTTTTCTACCTTTATAAAAAAAAAAATGTTTACCGGAAAGATAAATTAAATTTTTAAGAGCGTTTTGAAGTAGAAATGTGAAGAATATTGGATATTCACTCAATTTCTCACGAGATTTTCTTATTTTATTGTAATTCAAAAACTAAAGGCAAGATGCCTGCAAGATATTTTTATTCGCATTTGAAGTGTATCAAATTGAAAATTTACAAATGTAAAAATGTATATGTTCAGTTTTTATAGCAAAGGATTAAAAATTAAAAACAATATTTTACGTAAGTAGTTCATACTGTCACAAAATATATAGAAAAATATATAACAATAGTTTTCTTATAGTTATTTTGAGTTCAAATTTAAATGAAATTAGATATTTAAAAGCTCAAAACAAGTCAAAATAATTTGAAAATTTAAGTCTAACTTTAAATTTAAAGCAATAAACATTTTATGTAAATTTCAAGCGTCTACAGTTATTCGTTTTTGAATTTCAATAAAATAGGAAAACCATTTCATGAGAAATCGAGTAAATATATAATGTTGTGAAAATCTGAAAGTTAAACGCTCATAAAAAATTCATTTTGACTTTCCAGTAAACATTTTTTTTTCCTGATTAAGGTTGCCGCCAAGCTTATGAGAACTCATGTATTACATTTTCAAATCTAAATTTGAAAAGAAAAGTTTTTATGAATTTCTAACTCAAAATAGTTCTCAAACTTTCGTGACTTTTACGTATTTTGTCAAAATTTGAAATTTAGAAGCTCATAAAAATGTATTGTGTATTTAGCTTAAACTTTTTTTTTAATTTCTATACAAACAACAACTTATGAAGTACCTTGTATTTTTAAGTTGTTTAATCAAATAACAATTTTTTTATCAATATTAATTTCAAAAAACTAATAATAATTGAAAATTGCATATGCCTATAAACAGTTCTACACTAGTCAAAATATTTTGAAAATGTTATGTTGTATAGAAAACAAATTAAACATTTAGTGAAAACTTCACCTATCTATCTATGGTCATTTGTTTTAGAGTTACTTACACCAAAAACAAAAATAGATTTTGTCAAAGGCCAAATTTGCGTAAAAGATCACGTTTTCTTTAATTTTTTGCCCAGGGCTTTTCAAACTACTGTAAATTTTAAATTTTAAACTCCCGAATGAACTAACTAGATTCATTTTCCCTCGGGAAATGAAACTGAAATTGATTATCGAAGCATTATTTTGACTGGGTATTTCTCGTGTATATTGACACAAAAAAAACATTCATCATTGTATAATCAATACATTTATCGCTCTGCTCAGAATCTAAAAATTTTAATATTTTCAATAAAGCTCAAGTAATATGAAGGGTAAATACATTTTCTTAGGATAAAACTAAAATTAACTAGAATTAACCAAGAAAACTGTTGGTAATAAATTATATTTTCTTACAAAATTAAAAACTAAACATATTATATTCTGACAATGAAAGTGTTATGTTAATCGCTCAAATGAATATAACATATTTGGCAAATACAGAAATCTTTAATTTTATTGTAAAGGTAAGTGCAAATTTGGATTTTTCTGACATAAAATAATAAATTTGGCTGGGTAAAAAAACATATTAAAAATAATTTGACTTACATGTACATTATAAACACCGTGGCATGCAACGTGTTAATAATACATCCGTAATAACCTCATCGGGTACATAAACGAACTGTTCACACAATCACAAGCGTATCTCACCGGTAATGCTGGGTGGGACGGCTATAATACAATGCAATCGAACGTGTCCAGGCTGACTCACTGACTGATCACCATAAAGCATAAATAATGATAGGCTAAGACTTGAAATGTAAATATGCGCTAAAAAAGTATTCAAGATGATCTATGAAATATTTTAGGTTTTGAACACCATTTCACCAAATATTAAATAACAAATTGAACAAGGTTTAAGTATTATAATATAGAATTAACATTTTAAACAGGTAACAAATCCTTGGCACGAGAAATGCCTGACGGGACAGCTAGTTTAGTATAATATAAAGGTGATTAAATGAAAATAATATATACCTTTTTTGTACGATTAAAAAAAACATATAAGACCTATATTACCACCTAGGTACCTAATTAGTTTTGATTTTTTGAAAAATATTCATTGTTTAATGTTTAGTGTCTATTGATAATATTAAATACCTAATAGGTAAAGTTAAATTCGAACTTGCATTCATGTCTCCACTCTCCACTCACATTTCTGAATTCCCCCCTACACAATAAGCCTACTCCTAACCTTAAACGGCCCAGCCCCCCTCGGTGCTCGCCTGTTCGTTTCCAGTCCATTCTACCTTAGTCCATGATTTTAGCTAACTAGAATTTATACTATCAAGAAATCAAATGTTGAATATGAGCACCAAATATGATTAATGGGTACCAGTGTGCTTATGATAGCTAGCACAGCTCTAACGCAGTACCTAGAATATAACATATTATTTCGCAAAGTTGCTATAACGCTGTCCGTAAATCAAGCATTCACTGTTTGAAATTTTTGAATTTAGCTTTAATATAATTTGATATACAGTCTGTCCAAATTTACAATAGATAATTTGTTTATCAAAAAAGTTATAAGAGTTTAATTTTTTATGTTACAGGCATTAGAAGAGCAGTTAAATAATCATTTTCGAAATTGTCAAGGACTTGACATAGTTGAAAGAGCTATTAAAAAAATAAGACAAACAGTATTTCATGCTGATTCCACATTTCATGAAATAAATAATCGATTCCATTTCATGACGCAACATAAAATAACTGTACATAAAACAATTACAAATACCATTTATATCTAAAATAACATTACTGTTAAATTTGTTTTGCAGGTGCCAAATTATCAATTAAACTACTTCAAAGATGTACAAAATAATTGGCAGAATTTGTGCAAAGATGCATTAAGCCGGAACTTATGTTTTGAAAACGCGAAATCGGGTCTTGTTACAATTAACAACATATAAAATATGTTCTACATGTTTAATAATTAGTCACATAATATGTGATATGTATAAGTATATTACCTACATAACGTTAGGTATAAATATATTATTTATTTTGGAAAAACTAGAACCAATATGATGTAGGTACCTATGCTATTATTATTATAGTAAAATAATACCTTTAAACGTTTTTTTTTTTTTTTTGTAATAAAAATTTTGATGTGGAAATCAAAACACATTCGTCAAAGTAAAATTACCTAATTATTTTATTACAAAGGTTATACTTATAGAGTTATGACTAATTTGTTTGAGTAATACATTATTCATTTCTCAATAATCATAATGATAGAATATAATATATTAATACTTAGAAACTCGATTAGTGACTTAGCCATAAATTGGTTAAACACGTAGGCCTGATTTACCCAGATTTATTTAGTTTATACCTGATCCGGTATGCCGTTTCAACATCAGAATGCCTATTTTCTACCACGAAAATATTAAAAACTACCTATTTACGAAACTCATCAGATCAAGTCTTACTGGTCTAGGTCTTTTGAGTGTACATAAACAAATTGAAATCAATGGAGATAATAAGATCGGTCGTTTCGCAAAAGAAAAAAAAAGACTTCTGGACTTAATACTTCACAAATATTTAATTTAAAATTCTACAATTATTATCGCACATGACACAATATGCATTGCATAAAAAACTTTAGATGTATTATTATAATATATAGATTTTTTTATATTATGAAAATATAAGATGGTTTTAAACCCCTCCAAAATTTGTTCCAGCTACGGCCTTGATACTATAGTATCCAGGCCCGTCCGCTAGGGCACAAGCAAGTCATGTTTTGCTGAAGGGCGGCAAAATTAAACTAATATAAGTAACAAAGAGCAACATTAAAATTTTCGCTTTAGGACGAAAAATATCCAACGACGGGCCACGGACCTGACTACTAGGTACTTACTATAAATTATTAGAGTAGGTATAGGTAGTAATCTGGTATCGTGTGATTTAACAGTGCGTCCATGTTTAAACCATATAGATATATACTTAATAATTATAGTAACATAGGTAGGTCGTATCGTAACCCATAGGTACTAGATAGTAATAAATAAAAATAATATTACGTACTTTACTACTACATCAATATATTAATATTAACAGTTTAATGCTAGAAACATATAGAAACTATAGAACTATACAAACGTACACACAAATATTCCAAAAATATTGTTGAAGTTCAAAAATGTTTACTATCATAAATATGCTATCATCTAAAGGCGAATCAATGATCGCAGTAAATGACATAGAAAAAAAATTGTAATTTTTAATAGTGTATCACAAATTTGCAATTTTTAAGTTTGGTTAATACTATATACGTCGATGGTACATTTACTTATTGCACACAATTTTTTTATCAACTTTTTACAGTTCATGAATTTTATAATAATTATTCCATAAATATCTGTGGTGTTTGTTACTATTAAAATGTGGTAAATTCTACGAATATGTTTTCCCAAACATTTAGCGTTGATGTTCAAATTTAAACTTTAAGTTTTCTCCTGTCGAAATATATTCTGATTTCGACCTAGCAAATCGCCATTTTTTTAATATTAATTTGTTATATTATATATTGTTGGACCAGAAGGTTCATACAAATAATTACACTTTTTAGTAGCTCAAATAGCTTGCCATATTTATTTATTATATTTATTTTATTGGGCTAGAAGGGCCGCCTTTTATTATTATGTTGTGCTGTTTGGTCATAATTGCTGAACATTCCCAGTCAATTATAAAATGCTGTTTAATTGCTGTGAATTATATTATTAGTTTGTGTATTATTTAAAGTGTGTATTAGTAAACAGCAACTTGATACCATCTCTTTTCTTATGATTTTTTGACTAAGATACTTATCTTTGTTAATTTTAAGACTATACATACACATATACACAGGGATGGGCAAGATACTCAAAAATCAGTATCACAATACCCACGTTCTTCCTACATTCCTTGACACCATGGACGGGTGGCGATCACGGCATCGCAGGACCACTGTTCGTGACTCCAAGGCGGCGGACTAAGGTTGGCTGACGAAATCATCAGTATTGGAACTAGCAACGCCCTAAGCAAATTCTGTTCTTTCTTTTTTCTGTTTGTTTTACTTGAGCTCCGCTTTCAGGTGGACATATACCTAGCGATAGGGAAAGTCCATTTGGTAGCTGAGAGGGTTGCAACACAATATGTTATTGGTATTTTATTTTATTGTATAATGTCACAATAAACGATGAGGACAGGGGGAAAATCAATGCCAACAGCAGTTCCTCCCTCGGTTCTCGATAACAAGAAAATAAAAAAGATACTCGACACTTACATTTTAAGTATTTAGATACTCGATACTCGATACTTCCATTTTAAATATTCAGGTACTCTATACATTTAAAAAAATTAGTCATAGCCAACGACGCATAGAATATTTTTTAAATTGTATTTATACACAATTAAGTAGGTTGTGAATATAGACAAATGCATTTAACTTCATATTTCCAAATATTAGTTAAATATAAATATATTATAATAAGTCAATTGTTAAATTACAAAAATAAATAACAATAAAAATAAAATACAGATAGGTATCATATCATATTCTTATTTCCTCTTGAGAGTTTTAATAAAAGTATTGTCGGATAATTTATTCGCGGTAGGATTATGAATAAATCATGCCAGGGAAAACATACGCTCAACTGGTGCTGAAGAGCACAAGCTAGTATTAAACCGAATAAATAATTTTTTTACTATAGGATAGTTGTTGAGGGTATTCAAAGATTTATTGTTATTATTAAAAATCTAACTACCTCCAAATCAGCCTTTTTAATGGATTTAACGATTTTTGGTTGTGATAAAAAAACAATAAAATGTTACGGATTTGGATATCTAATATAGGTACGGACGTACCGAAAAGACGTTAAGCCCATTAAACGTGTATGTGTGGTGCGTCACAGTACACAGATATAACTTAATAATTTAATATGGCTAATAGGTTGAAAAATAATTTCGCACAAGTTGTACTGCAATTAAATTATGGATTTATAAATTTAAATTCATCACTCATATTATAGTATTATACTAAATTACTAAAACATAGTCAAACAGTTGCGGTTGGTAGATAGGCAAGTAAAAATAATCCTAAAAAATTAATTTTTTTGAGTATTGTATTAAAGTATCAAGTATTTTTTGATAAAATTATTTTGTGAAACACTCAATACATTATCTAAAAATGTATCGCGATACAAGATACTCGATACTTTATATAATTGTATCGAGATACTGCCCAACCCTGCATATACACACCTCACACAACATAGCTCACTAATATTTGCGCACAGGCCCGAATAGGGCCGGCGAGTTACCGAGTTGAACTCGGTGGGCCGCTTAAAATTTGGGCCGGCAAGTAATACATGGCCGAAAATATTTCAATACCACAAATCCTGTACAATGAAGTACGAATATAAAATATTCCCATAGACTTATAGAAATAGACAGAACATTAGGTATGATAACGCGTCCTTGTGATCGGACACTATTAAAGCTATGTATTGGTTATCCTCGGAGCTTTCGACCATATAAGCTTATATGGTCGAAGCTCGGAGTAGAGGACATTTCTCTCACTCTCATGATAAAACTCATGCTATCTCTCTTAATCCGTTTGGCACGACCACGCCTCCCAATCCTCGGGCCTAATGTTCCGTCTATTTCTTTAAGTCTATGAATATTCCATTGACAACAGTCCACAGTCAACAACCATTCCAATCTATAAACCATGTTTTGTATTAATATTTAATAATATATAAATAATTTATAGTACCAGTATGGCAGTATGATAAGTTACTATTTAATTACATTATATTGACGGTTATAAATCTATGGGTTTTTCTCATTATTATCGGCTAATACGAGTAACAGCACTCACACATACATGATAGACAGTAGACACATTGTACTTTGTACTTTGTACATAAACGAGTAAACTCTCACAATCGCAGTTTCACACTAAACGTCTAAACAGTACACACACGACACATTATTATTATTTTTTACTTTATACATTATACCCATCAGTGATCAGTATAATATAGTATATTTTTATGATGTATTAAGATAAACCAAAAAATGTCAAAGGAGGAGCGGAAAAGTTAAGGCTAAAACGGGAAGCTGAACGTAAAGCTGCCGGAAGTGACCCTAAACAATGTTGTATATGGTGCAACACTGTTATTAGATTAAGGCAGTTGTCAAAAAAAATGTATGTTGGTATTGGACTGCAGCACACAATGAAGTAATAAATAAATTAAAAAAGATAGTTGCGAGTCCACAAGTTTTAGTAAATTTTGATTCAGAAAAAGAGCTAGTCATACAGTGTGATAGTTCACAAACAGGATTGGGGTGCTGTTTATTGCAAGGCAATAGACCAATTGCTTTTTCATCAAGAAGTCTGAATGAGGCAGAAGAAAGATACCCTCAAATAGAAAAAGAAATGTTGAGTATACTTTATGCATGTAAAAAATTTCATAATTACATTTATGGAAATACAACAAAAGTAATGACAGATCATTCACCTTTAGTACAAATATTTCAAAAGAATTTTAATAAAGTAATATTAGTAAGACTTCAGAAAATGAAAATGAAGCTAATAATATATGACTCATGTGTAGAGTATTTGCCAGGAAAATTAATGCTTATAGCAGATCTACTGTCAAGAAACTTTATGGAAATTAAAGAAGAAAGTGAACAGGAGTTGGAGGGGGTAATACATGCAGTTGAGAATAGAAATACAAATTTTCAAGAAATAGCAAAAGTTACTGAAAGTGATGAAGAGCTGAAGGAGGTCATTAAATTGTATGAAAGAGGTTGGCCTAAAAGTAAAAAACAAGTACCTGAAAATATGAGACAGTACTGGAATTTAAGAGATAGTATTAGTGTTGAGAATGGAGTAGTGTTTTATGAAAGCAGAATAAGA